TTTTGCTAGAAAAACTTTAATAGTAATTTATTTATTATACATTTAATATGTTTCACTTGAAATTTACTGCGTACTTGGAATTTCACAATCTTCGATTATATTTGCTGCAGGTACGTATGTCTTAAATGAAAACTTATTATTTGGAAATGATCCAGGATTAATCACATGGCAATTTGAGTAAACAGTCGAATATGGTTCATACTTATCCGCGACTACAATTAAATCGGGCGTAGGATGTAAACGTAAGGCATAATCGTGTGTCCAATAAACAGGACTTGCTGTAAGTGTTAAAGGAACCAAATGTGCTTGGCAAATAATAGACTTAGCGAACTGAAACATATTAAATAAAGTTTTTCTTTTGTAAAAGAAAATTTTCATTTCAATTGTTTATATTTCTTGTATATTAAAAAACTTACATGATTAGGTACTTTTGATTCTTCTCCACTAGGAAAACGTAAAGTGTTTCTACACATTTTTATCAATATATCTTCTCTATATACCACAATCTCTTTAGTACAATATTGAATTCTGCAAGGATTAGTGGCAAATATAGCTTCTGGTATAGCTTTTTGAATATCTTCGACCACATATTTGGACAATGATCGTCTTGGTAAAATCTTTGGTGCGCCCAAATCACAAGGACCTGGTACAAATATAAATTTCGAAGACGTCTTTATAGTCGGATATTGAACTATTAAATCGGCTAATTTCTTGAAACCTTCCTTCATTGCTGCTGGACTGAATTCATTTTCAGGAAAACTCAAAAAATTCCCACATATTACAAAAGCTATTGGTGGAATGTCCACTAATCCATCCAACATAATTTTAAATTTAGATAATACAACCGAATTGTCAAGCCATAAATCAGATAGAAAAATTATCATTCCATTTTGATTGGATTCTTCATATACTTTCAACTTTTCAGATAATTTCAATGACGTAGGATGAGGTCCACCAAATGTATTAGCATCTCCAAAATCTGCACGTGAATTATCAGATGATTCTGGCGGTGGAAATCCTATTTCTTTAACATATAATACACCATTAGTGTAAGTACCACTAACTAATACCATAGAACCTTCCATAATCAAACCATCTTGAAAAATGTATATACAATTGTAAAGAAAATATACGTGAATATAATAAATGTAATAATGACTATATAAAATTGATGAATTAGATTAAAAAGGATATTGCATGTCTCAAATCAATTTTTAATGCTCCTCCTGGGTCTTCCAAATAATAATGATTTTCAGAAAATTCAGCTATAAGGCCTAATAAGCAAATATCCCTTGTTTTACTCTCGCTGTACAAGGATTCAATAGGTGTTAATTTTATTCTGGATACATTTTTTTCTCCAAGCTTACGCGAAGTGAATAGTTCATGTCTTAATATCCTATATAATATAGTTTCAAATCTATCTTTAAAAAGTATAGTCTTTTGTGTTACATCTGAATATAAATCCATAGTGCTTTTATGTAACACAAATTTTTTCTTGTTAAGATCATATGTAATCTTTGGTATATCATACGCATCAATGACATTTAATTTTGTCTCAGTTTCTTTTAATACATCTGATCTCATAAAATCTGTAATAGCAATTCTAATGTGATCTACTTCCACATGTGGATTTTCTAAATTTTGGGATAATACTCGCTCTACCACACCCGTAAGCCAATTTTCTTGTTCATCCTCATTTACTTGTGATAATTGTTTGGCAACAGAAATACTAAGTGTTCTAAGCAAAAGAATTTGTATAAATTAATGAAAATTAATATTTATTATCCAAAATGATTAATATAATAATTTATATTGTTAAAAATATCATCTTACCTTGATAATACAAGTCCATAAATAGAGAAAGTCGATTGAACAATTTTAATTAATTTTTCATCAACCATGATTTTAACAAATCTAAATTATTACAAATTTCATAAAAATTTAATTCTAATTTTTATAAAATGTACATCCTCTTTTGAAACGAAAATACTGTTAGACGTAAGAATACTTAAAGACGTGTTTATGTACTTTCCCGCCTTTTTCTTTATTACCTTGAAATATCATTGATATATATCCGTAAATCTATCTAAATCTATCTAGTCGCAATATCAAAATATAAGATGTTTGTATATTCTGTACGAGTTGCTCTTCTTAAATATTTTGCTTAACGATATACTTCGTGGTCATTTGCAATAAATATAGGATGTAGAACATAACCAAAGAAATAAGAAAATGGCAGCGAACGAAAGGGAGGCAGAATCTCTTAAACCTCTTTTTCGTAATCTTATGGCAGACGATCCTGAACCAGAGGCTACAGAGATAGAAAGTCTTTGTGTAAATTGTGGTAAAAATGTAAAAAGAAATAGATATATTTTTATAAAATTAAAAATATACGATATTTCGTTATTGACCATTTGTTTCATCTATATTTAGGGCATTACAAGACTTCTCTTGACGAAAATACCGCATTACAAAGATGTCGTGGTAATATCCTTTGATTGCGAGAATTGTGGTTATCAAAATAATGAAATTCAAAGTGGAAGTAAAATATCTGAAAAGGGTATTAAAATTACCTTGGAAGTTAGCTCGCCAAGAGATTTGAATCGTCAAGTAGTAAAGTCAGATTATACCAGTGTTCATTTGCCCCAAATAGATTTTGAGATACCTGCAAGATCTCAAAAAGGAGAAATTACTACGATTGAGGGTATAATAGATCATAGTATCGAAGGATTGGAACAAGATCAACCAAGACGTAGAGAAGAATATCCAGAAACTGCAGAGGAGATAGATAAATTTTTAACAAAATTACGTGATCTTAAAATACCTAGCAAACCATTTACAATAATTTTTAAGGATGTCTCTGGAAACTGCTATGTTGAAAATCCAAAGGCACCGCTTAAAGATTCTGAATGTAAAATTACTTACTTTAACAGATCGGAAGAAGAAAATCGTTTATTAGGGATATATAATGACAATACAGAAGGTCTTTTAACACCTATACAAGATGGAGAACATACTCTTGAAGATATTGAGGGTGAAGTTTTATCTTTTCCTACAAATTGTCCAGATTGTAATAGTCCTTGCGAGACTAATATGAAACTGACGAGTATCCTTTTTCCTAAGATCAACAATAATTCTATTCTACTTCTTTACGAAACTTTTTATTTATTATAATTAAAAATTATAATATATTAAAGACATTTACTTTTTCCTTAAGTTTTAACATAGACATACCACATTTTAAAGAGGTCGTAATTATGGCAACATTATGCGAAGCGTGTGGTCATAGAACTAACGAAGTTAAAAGTAGTGGAGGAGTAGAGCCTCATGGAGTAAAAATAGAGGTAACGGTTACGGGAAAAGAAGACTTTACTAGAGATGTATTAAAGTCTGAAACATGCTATATGGAAATACCAGAACTTGAATTAGAAGTTGGCCCAGCGGCTTTAGGTGGCAGATTCACTACTGTAGAAGGGATTATTGCAGCGACTAAAGAACAATTATCATCATCCACTACTTTCACGGGTGATAGTACAGATGCTGAAAATGTTAACAGAATGCAAGCATTTATATCACAATTAACAGGCGTTCTTGAAGGGAATAAAACAATAACTTTAATATTGGATGATCCAGCTGGAAATAGTTACATACAAACCCTTTCTGATGATGGACCCGATGATAAATTGAAAATCACAAAATATGAAAGAAGCTTTGAGCAAAATGAAGAACTTGGACTCAATGACATGAAAGTGGAAAATTATTAATAATGCAGTGACTTGTATGAAAGAATGCTAACATAATATCAGGAAAGTACAAAGAAGGAAGGATACGTATTATACGGAATTATAAATAATAAGAATGCAATATTGTAATACATTTTTATCATGGGTTTAGGATACAACATGTAAATACATGTTTTATATTTTGTTCTTTGATCAATTTTATTTCATCCGATGTAATGCATCTTAAAAATCGTCAGCAGCACGTCTAAAAAAATAATTGAGTTTTATTCCTTTTTCTAATCTATTATAATGCGTAACCCTCTCTAACACATACACTATCGGAATCGAATCGAGTTTCTTCAAATTTGGAAATTTTTTCATGACCTGAGTACGCCATGTCTCAGTATCCATAGTTTCGCATAAGGGATTATTTATAAATAATAGATCTTCTAAATTAGGAATTTCTTGAAAACGATTGAATTCTACCCAATCTCGTATTAAATTATTACCAATATAAAGAACTTTGAGGGCCTTAAGTACGTTCACACCTTTCGTTTTTTCTATTATATTATACGATATCCATAATTCTTCTAAATGATCTCCTACCGCCTCTAATCCGGAAAAACTTTTGATAGAATTACGAGCCACGGATAAAATTCGTAAATTTTTTAAAGAATTAATGCCACTGATTCTTTCTATCATGTTAGTGGATAAAGATAATTTCCTAGAAATATATAAATTATCATTAGTTATTATTTTAATTGTATAATACACCGTATCAATAAGAAAGTATATGACAATTTAATGACTAACACTACATTAGCTAAAACAGCCAAACTGTTATCCATTTTTTCAATTGGTGGCCATTGAAATGATAAAATGACCTCTTTTGCTTCGGCAGCATTCAATCCCGTTTTTTCTTCCCATCTTTGAATCGCTTCTTTACAAGTCGTAGGTTTAAGATGCTAAAATTTCCAATTTTTTAGATTTCGCAAATATAAACTCTATCATTATTCTATTAGTTATATTTATATTTTAAATTATACTTTTGTAGCGGGCTCCATAATTGATTCTTATTTTGTTTCTATATCAACAAAAAATTAAATTATTTTATTGTAATAATCTCGAAACAATAATTCTCACAATGTTCATTATATTTAAATAATATTTCAGATGTTTATACAATCGATTAGACGTCGGTGTATCTTTTGTTATCTACTTTACTATCATTTATAGAATATTAACTCAATATCCTCTTATTCTATATGTATTTAACGAAATCTATTTATCAATAAACAATGAATTGAAAATAAATTTCCCGCCCTTGAGGAGTAAAACTAATTTTAACGATTATTCGATTAAGTATACGGTAATATTTTATATCCAATGAACATCTAAAGATAATTTATATCTAATGAGTATCGCAGACCAATAGAAACGTACTCCTATAGATATAACTATTTTCATTGGATAAGTATCAACCAATAGAAACTTAGTAAAAATATTCGTCCACATATATATAAATATAAATTTCTTTCTTTTCTATATTAATAGCGTTGGAGGCGTGATAGCCGGTGAAAAAAAATATCTATATAAATTTATGAGATATGCAAAGATAAAAAGAGAGAGAGAGAGAGAAAAGATTTAGTATCGGTGGCGCGATCGGTCTTGCGTAAAGGAGAATGAGAGATGGCGATGGCGGCGAATATAGAACAACCAATAGGGAGGGCCAATGGCCGGCGCATACATGGATGCCGTGCTCGTGCGTCGTCGGCTCGTCCGCCACCAGAGACCGACGTGCCGATACGCGCGCTCTCGTGGGCGTACTCGTGTTCGCGTTCCTTTCGATTTTCACGCGTTCCCGTTCTTGTAAAGTTCTTTAAAAAATGCCGAACCTGCTAAGGAAGGAGAAGGTGCGTCTGTCACGGTAGTTCTCTCGTGTCGCGCGGTGGTGTCTTTAGAACGTTACCACCAAAGTTTTTCTTCGCACGCGATCGGTCTGTCCTACGGATCAGTCTGTCTTTATTCATCCCCTCTCTATCTATCTATTGCTGTGTGTGTCTCTTTCTCTCTCTTTTTCTTTCTCTCTCTCTCTCTCTCTCTCTCTATATATATATATATATATATATATATATATATATATATATACATATATATCTCTATCTATCTTTCTCTTTCTCTCTCTCTCTCTTTTTCTTGGTGCTGCGCGACGCGAATGGTGTTTCTCCACGGCAGAGAGAAAGAGCGAAGAAGGAAGGAGCAAAAGGAAGAAGGGAGCTAGCGTGTGCGCGAGAGAGAAAGAGAGAGAGAGAGATTGAGTGAGTGAGTGAGTGAGTGAGTGAGTGAGTGAGTGAGTGAGTGCACCGGGGGAACAACCCCGGCGGCCTTAGCTACTCAAGGGTGTAGTAGCATGGTGAAGACCGCCGTCTTGCTCGTTTCTTGACCCGACCGTCCGTATACATCGCAAAATCGGCTCTTCAACTATCTGTCCGTTGCGAAAAAGAAAGAAAGAAAGAGAGAGAGAGAGAGAGAGAGAGAGAAAAAGAAGGTTCGCTCCGCTCTAGTAAGAGTCCCCCGTCGACTCGTACGGAATCGAATCCATCGTCGGCCTATTAAAAGCGGTCGTGTGAGTTTCGACTACTCTCTCGCGTGTCTCGGGCCCCGTCGCACACGATACAATAATGGTATTTTTTGCCTTTTCTTTGCTACCGTGCTCTGGATATATGTATACACACAGCAGGCCATATACACACGCACGCACACCATATACACGCACACACACACACACATACACACACCAGGCGTGTTCTCGCGAGTGCCAATTCATCCCTCTTTCAAAGGGACGAGTCGAACGCACGCGCGAACACGCGCACGTTGCTACACTCAACCAGATCTGCCACGCTTTTACTACTTCTGTTCCAGGAAACGTCGTCGAAGACCAGCAAGGACAAGGGAAAGAACGGCAACAAGGATGTCGAGGCCGGCGACGAGGTGAGGTTATATCTCGTTTCTCTACGCTCTTTCCCCCTCTCTTCTGTCGCCTTCTCCTCCTCCTCCTCCTTTTTTTTCTTCGTCGTCGTCGTCGTCGTCCTCCTCCTCCACCTCCACCTCCTCCTCCTCCTCCTCCTCCTCCTCCTCCTCCTCTCTCATCTCTCTATCGCGATACGTACTTAAATACCATCCCTCCCGCGCGCACTACTCCTGTCATATATTACACAGTAGATTGTCAGTGTCAGGATCGCTCTTCTCTGTCTCTTTTCCCCCCTTTCTCCTTCACCTCTCTCTCTCTCTCTCTCTCTCTCT